TCTCGGGGTCTTCTAGCCCGGGCTCGAGCTGGGCGGGCAGGCCCCGGTCCCCTGGCTGTTCCACTGGTGGAAGGCCCACCACTGCCACCAGCTCCGCCACTGCTGTAGCCACTTAGGCCTGGAGTGGAGTAGCTGGTTCCTGGCATGTCGTAGGGGTCGACAGCCGGGGGCTGGGAGGCCAGAGACTGCCCCTGGGACTGGGCCATGGAAGAGATGAGGGTGGGTTGCACGAGCCACTGGAGGTCCTGGCTGGTTGTGATCGCGGTGACCGTGGGCACGAAGGAACCGGGCATTTCCCCGAGACCGGCGCACTCCTACGGGGTGACACATACACACACAGGCGTAGACACACAAACAAAGACACCGACACACACACGCCCAACACACATAACACACACCGACCCCGTGAGTGAGCACAGGGCGAGCGGGTGTGGATGTGTGTGTCACAGGCAAAAAGCCACAACACCCACCCTTCCACTACACCGTGACGCAGTGGTTAATGAGAGGATTTCTGCTCAACTGGCTTCTACCTCCTCCTTCTTCCTCGGGGAAAGGTTGCACGGTTCCAGCGGGTGGTGAATCACACCCTGGGTTGGTGACTCTTAGGTGTAGGGGGCGGGGAGGAGGCTGGACACAGCCGGGTGACAGAATCCCCGGGACGGAGCCACAGCCACAACACCCCACCCCCACCCCAGAGGCAAAGGGAGGGAGAGGGAGAGGCCTTAGGCCAAGCCTTTCTCCACACTCACACTCATACACACACACCCCTCTGTGCAAGGTCCTGTGCAGGGTCTGGGGTCCCAGCTAAGGGGGTGTTGGGGAACTGGTCTAGGAGTTTAGAACAACGTTTCAAGTAACTGTCTCTCCCCCAGTGAGAATAGCAAGTGACAGGTTAGGGCGAACGGATAGGTAGCAAAAAGTGACCACCCGGGCCCCCTCGGACTGTCGCAGAGGACGAATGGTGTAGGACCTAAGCCCCCAGGCCCGAGCAGGGCGCGTCTCCCCCCACCCGCAAACGGAATCCTGAAACAGCTCTGAAGGCTTAACTACTCTCAAGGGGGCGTGGTGAGGGAAGGGCTGGCTCGCCGGCCAATCGGCATCCTGGGAACCCAGAGGGGGCGGGGCTCCCGGAGACCACCTGGCTGGGTCTCCTCTGGTTAGCGGCAACAGGCTTATCTTCGGACACACAGGAGGGACCGGGCATCCGGCGCAGAGGGAGCGAGCCTCTGTCCGTATGTGGCTGAAGAAGAAGGCGTAAGCCACCATGTCTCCCGAAGAAACCCCGGCATACAAACAGACACTCCCTGCCTCTGAGAGCCCAGAAACCAGATTCCCGCAAGGTCCTTGCGGACCCATTGGGTCAAATAGTCGCTTTGGTCGAGACAGGAATCTCCTCGCTCTGCCTCTAGAGGCCCGTAAACCAGACCTAAGCGCGGAGGACCGGGGACAGAGAGGAGGAAGGGAACGGCGCTCTACAAATAGGAAGGGAAAGTTGATTGGCCAAAGCCTGCGTTGCGGCGGCCAATCGGAATGATGAGCTGCCCCCTCCCTTAGCAACGTGGCCCCGGCGTTCCAAAATAGAACGCTCCTGGGACGTCAGGGGCGGGGCGGACGAAGGGGGCGCCGCGCGCTGTGCGTGCCCCGCGTCAGACGGAGGATTCCACAGCGTCAGCCGTTACGCACGGGTCCCCCGTTACGTCTCCGCGCAGGAGGCGGAGGCAGCTCTACCTAGGGTTCGAGGCCTGCCTTCCCGCTGGGTGGAGGGCGGCCCGGCGCCGGAGTCAGTGCTCTGAAGGAGGAGGGAAGGAGAGCAGGCTACTGGAAGCTTCCTCGGAATTTTCCCCACCTGCCTAACTGCCTGCTTCAGGTTGGGGAACTGAGCCGGGGAGCCGGGGTGGGGGAGCAGTCTCGGAGCTAGCGAAAAGTTCTGTCCTTCCAAAGGCATACACGTTGCACTGAGAGGCGCACTCCCCTCCTCCCTCCACATTTCACTCCAGAGCTTATCCAGCTACGTTTGCTCCACGCACGCAACCTATGGCAAACATCTCCCGACTCTGCAGTTTACAAAGTCCTCTATTCTCTCTCGGATCCTCAGTTTTGGCGCGACTTTATTTAGGGGGATGGCGTAGCTCACTCCACTCATGACTTAAACATTAAAACCGACAAAGCAGCGCCCCTGCCCTCCAGAACTTACCTGGGAGGAGGCGGCGGTAGGTGGACTGCCGAAGGAGTCCACTGAAGACAGATACTGAGACTCGGCGGAGGGTGAGGAGCTGCACCGGGAGCCGGAGTCGTAGTCTCCAGGGAAAGCCTGAAACATTTCCCTGGGCACAGGGGGGCCCCTGTGACCACGCTGAGGTCGCCGGGAAGCCAAGGCTATGGCCGGGTAGGAGAGGCAAGGTGCGAGTCCGGGGTAAGCCGAGCGCGTCCCCAAAGTGTGCTGTCCAGGAAAGCTCGGGGAGTGGACAGCGTCCCGCTCCAACAATGGCAAAGTTTCTGTGCAGTCGTTCCGCTGTGCCCAAGCCCCCACAGGAGGCCGCTGTGCCTCCTGAAAGTCCAGGTTCCGTAGGACCCAGGAGCGAGGGGAGGATCGCTCCCTCAAAGGCGAAAAGTGCTGTCCGCTGTGCAGAATATTCTTCAAGTAGGTTCTCCTCCACGCGCCCAGCAGGTCTCACGGGGGGAGGGGAGTAATAAAGAAGACGAAAAAAGTAAGTCAGGCTTCCAAAATAAAACGAAGAAATATCTAGAAGAATCCGTCCAAAACCTTCCTTTCCGGAAAAGAAAGAAACCAAATTTTACAGCCGCCAAGAAGAAGAACCACAATAATCAAGTCCCCGAGTCCCGGCTCCGCGTGTCCCCGTCGCGGCCGTAGCTCTCAGTCTTATGAATGAAGCCCAGAGCCGCCAGCTTGTATTTATGTGCCTAGACCCGCCTCCTTGCTTACGTCACCCTCCCGCTCGCTACAAACTTCTAGATATCTCCGTCCCTCCTAAACCAAACCCCACGTGGTTCAGCAAGAGGTCTGCCCTAGCCTCAATCTGATCACCTGCATGACCCTCGCAGCCTTGGAGGTCTCAGGGGCTGCTTTCTAGGTGACTCGCGGGGGGGATCCAGACCCCGCCTTCCCGGAGTTCCTTTGACGCAATTAGCCATATAAGGAGCTCTGCCGGCGCGGCCGACTGTTTGTTTGGTATCCTAGCAATGACGTCAGAGGGAATCCCTCGCTCGCGCGCGCACCCCGCGCGCCTGCGGAACCAGCCAGCGCCTGCGCAGTGCTACGCCGCCCCGGGGGCTGGTATTAATAGGCGCCTTAGACTATCCCGGGACGGCCCCCGCTGACCCGGGCGGGGAAGACCCCAGCTTGCAGGTTCCGCTTACCTCTGGCGTCCCCCAACCCCCGCCCCATTCTCTCGCTGGTGCAGCGCCCTCTCTCGAAAGGAAGAGTAGATCTCCAAAAAGAAGGCTGCTTAATGTGCTGTCACGGAGAGAGGTAAACTGAGTCCCCAGTGGGGTTAGAAGGACTGTGATGCCCCAGATGAAAGTGGAGGTGGGAGTGGAGGCGCGTCCTAGCTTCTGCCCTGACTTGCTGTGCGAACTAGGGAAATGAATTCCCTCTCTGAGCTTCAGCCTCAGTTTTCCCAGTCGGGCGAATGCTGTGTCTGGCGTTTGGAGAGGATGGGAAATAAAATTTAGGGTGAAACCTCCCTGCTGATGGTGCTGGTAGCCTCTCCTTCCGACTTTGTAATACTACCCAGAGACAGAAGGAATGTGTGTGGTGTAATTAATAATACTAATTAGTATTACTACAATAATAGTAATTATTGATGCCACATGTTTGGCACTCACCAAGTAGCAGCTCCTGTGCTAAGGCTTTTGAATACGAGCTTCATAATACTTAAAACCCTTTGGGGGTCCAGCAGGTGCTTAGTGGTTAAGGGTGCTGGACTCCCACGTGGCTGACGGCAGTTCTAGTCCTGGACCTGATGGCTTTCTCTCTCTCTTTCTCTTTCTCTCACTCTGTCCCTCTCTGGTCAGATTTAAAATAAATAAAGTTAAATAATTCTTAAAAATAAAAACTTTGGAAGTTAAGGGAGAAAAATCATTTTATGAAAAAGGAAATTGATACTCAGGGTAAATGATTTATCCAAGATCCCGTTGCAAGAGATTCAAAGCCAGAATTGTCAGACTTCAGAACTCTCTTAATTTCCTTCCTGATTTCAGAGACTTGTCTGACTGAGTGCATCTTCTTGAAAAACCTGTGACTGGAGGGACCAGCAGTGAGCGTAATGGCTATGTCGCTGGACTCCCACGTAGTCGACTGAGGTTCACGTCCCGGACCCGGTGGCTTAAAACTCACACCGTGTGCGTGCGTGCCCAAGATCCCGAGAGGAGAATGGAGGAGAAGGGATTGAGGCGTGGCCATCCCCCCTGGGGGGTGATTTCTCGCTTTCTGTCTCTGTCTGTCTGGCGAGTGCTCGCACCCTATAGCAAAAACCTCTCAAAAATAAAACAAAACAAAAAAACCCTGTGTCTGGAGATTTGTTACAATGATAATGATGATAATAGTAGCTTCCCTGGGCTGGGTATTTATAAGCTTTACCAAACCGTGGTGTACGTTCCTGCAGCCTGGCCTCAGAGAGACAGAATTGCTTACCTGAGGCAGCCGGGTTAGCAAATGGAGTTCAAGAATCTAACTGAGGTATTTCCGATGCTGTGGCCCCCAACTTTTATTTTTTAAGTATTATTTTTTTTTTTTAAGAATTATTTGTTGGGGCTGACAGGTGGTTTGCTAGTTAAGGGCGCTGGACTCCCGCATGGCTGACCACTGTTCAAGTCCCAGACCTGGCACTGGCTTTCTTACTTCCCTTTCTTTCCCTCTCTCATTCTATCCCTCTCTGGTCAAATTTAAATAAACAAATACATAAATAATGTTAAATTAAATAATTCTTTTAAAAGAGAGAATGACTTGCTTCTTTTATTTAATTTGTTATTATTTATTTATTTTAATTTGACCAAAGGGAGAAGGAAAATGAGAAAGCAAGCCACCAGGTCTGGGACTCGAACCGTGGTTGGCCATGTGGGAGTCCAGCGCTTCAACCACCACGCCACCTGCCAGCCCTGTTTTGTTTTTAAATTTTGCCAAAAGGTGCCTATTGCTTGCCAGGGGAGAGAAACAGAAAGCCTCCCCTGCCGTCCCCGCTGCCATCCCCGCTGCCGTCCCTGCTGCCATCAGATTATGGTCCCCTGGCAATCCTCCTCCACTGCTCCCTCCTGAGGAGTTTCTTGAGCTGCCGGGTCCAGACATGAATCGCGTGGTGGGGCATGTGGGATTCAGCCATTTTCACCACCAGACTATGGGTGGGACCTTCTTGTTTTGTTTTTAAAGTGTATCTATGTCCTCCATGATCAAGCGAGAGCGAGGCACTGCCACAACCCACCCCTAGGTCACGGGCATCGGCGCACCCGGCATGCCCAGGGAGGTCTCAGGACGAGAACCCAGAACCTTCCCATGTGGGCCAGCCTCACAGCTCTGCAGCACTTATTGTACTGCCATCAAGTCCCATGAAGTCCCCAACTCTTTTCTTTTTGAGAGGTTTTTGCCTTAGGGCACATGTGCTCACCAGAGAGAGAGAGACAGAGACAGTGAGGGGGGGAAGTAAGAAGTCACCCCCAGATGCGGAGGATGGCCATGCCACAATCCTTTTTCCTCCACTCTCCTCTTGGGATCTTGGGCCCACATGCACCCATACCCAGTGTGATTTTTTTTTTTTTTGAGAAGTTTTTGGTATAGAGTGTGTGTGCTCGCCAGAGAGACAGAAAGCAAGAAATCACCTGGCAGGAGGGATGGCCATGCCGCTATCCCTTCTCCTCCATTCTCCTCTCGGGATCTTGGGCATGCACGCACATGTGCCAGCGTGAGTTTAAGCTGCTGGGTCTGGGACTTGAACTGCGGTCGACTACATGGGAGTCCAGCAACATAGCCATTATGCTAACTGCTGGTCCTTCCATCCCGCAACTCTTAAGCACCCTCCAGGAAGGATGCCACCAGCCACTTGGCAAACCTGACATCCCAACACTGCCTTCCAAGTGCCCACCTGGCCCCAGCCCTAGGCACAACAGGAGAAGAACCTTAAAACTGTCCAGTCCTGAGGCCAGCAGGTGGGGTGGTGGTTGGAGGTACTGGACTCCCACATGGCCAACTGTGGTTCAAATCCTGAACCTGGCGGCTTGTGTTCTCTCTTCTCTCTCTCTCTCTCTCTCTGTCCCCCTTTGGTCAAATTAAAATGCACAAATGGATAAATCAAGTTAAATACAATAATTCTTTAAAGGGGACCAGCAGGTGGCATGGCGGTTAACGCAGTGGACACTCCCACGTGGCTGCCTGTGATTCAAGTCCTGGACCTGTCAGCTTACTATCTCACTTTCTCTCTCTCTGTCTCTCTCTGGTCAAATTAAATAAATGAATGAATAAATAAAATTAAATAATTATTTGAAAAAATCAATTCTTAAAAACAAAAAGAGGGACCACCACAAGTAGATAATGGCTATGTCGCTGGACTCCCACATAGTTGACCGCGGTTCATGTCCCGGACGCGGTGGCTTAAAACTCACGCTGGGTGCGTGTGCGTGTGTGCCCAAGATCCCGAGAGGAGAATGGAAGAGAAGGGATTGTGGCATGACCATCCTCCCTGGGGGGTGATTTCTCGCTTTCTTTCTCTCTGTCTCTCTCTGTCTGGCGAGCGCACGCACCCTATAGCAAAAAACTCTCAAAAAAAAAAAAAAAGAAAGAAAAACTGTTCAATCTCACAGGCCCAGAGAGGAGGTGGGCCCAGGGCCACACAGCAGGTCTGAGGCAGAGCAGGAGAGGGTGGTTCCTGATTCCTCGCAGAGTCCTGATTCCCTGCCCCTGTCACGGGGAGGAGGTAGGAGCCAAGGAAGGCTGGAGGGATGTGGGGGCAACACGGGGAGGATTCCAGACAAAGTTCATCCTCAAGCCTGTTCTCCATCCCATGCCCCCACGCCCCCTCTGTCTGCCACCAGCTAGGAGGGACGGACAGGGACTGGGAGATGACACAGCAACCACCGGCAGGCAGTGACTCGGCTCCAGCATCAGACAGGGAGTGACCTTCCTTCTCCTGTCCCGTCCAAGCCCCTCATCTCTTCCAGGAGACACAAAAATACCTGCTCTGGCTGCCCAGGGACCTTCACCCCCAACTCAGGCCGCACTTGGCCACACAGCTGCCATCACCACCTGGCAGGCCCTCAGACATTCGCCTGTAAGCAGCAACACACGTGGCCACATGGCTTCACACACACAACACCTGTATGTG